GCAGGTGCACTTGAATATTAGAACCCTAATCCTAACCCTAACCCTAATTGTAACCCTACGCATGTGCCCTAGAAGCTGTTCTCTATTATGACAATAAATGCATTCTGTCATATGTATGCTTGCTGTCAGCATGCACAATAGTTTGCATGAAAGAGGATTTTGTGACCTCTTCTGTGCAGGTGTACATAAGTCCTGCACACCACTTCCTGGCATGATTGTGGGGGGCCTCCTGGAGTAACATTTGTCTGTGTGTCCTGTTGACCATGTCCCTTGCATGACCACCAGCTGCATGTATCAAGTCTGTCCACACAAACCTCCCTTGCATGTACCTCTCCCCTCCCCCCTGATCTGCGTAGGACATGTTTTGTTGAGGACGATGGAGTAGGTGTCTTTTCAGTTGACAAACTCATTCCTTTGCTCCAAGGGTGGCACAATCAGACAATGGCACCTGTCTACTGAACCCACTCCTTGAGGGAAGCCAAGGTCAGTGAATCCTTGCATGATATGTGGGTGTATGACAAGTCCTGTGCAGGTGCACAGGGATGCTGAACATCAGTCACCTTTGTACGCAGAGAGTGATAGACTGTATACCAGCCTATGACATGTTCTGCACAGGTGTGCAGGGATGTGTTCCTGAGCACATGCGGATGCATCTGAGAGAACCAAAAAAAAAATTAAAGCAGCCACTGCCGGGCCATGCGGTTGCTCCATCTCCCTTTGCAGCATCCTCGGCGCCAGTGGTGCGGTTGGTGAGGCTTCAATAGAGCCTTAGAAAAGCTGCATTGACTCTCCCCAATGCGGTTGCTCCATCCCTATTTAGGGCATCTTCGCAGCAGATGGTGCGGTTGCTGCAGCTTAGGGAAATGGAAGTTTGGGTCACCTTTTCCTGCTTGTCTGCATTGGCCTTTAGTTCTTCTTTCTACCTTGACTGTCATGTATGTATGTGTGCATGCACGTGCATAGTTAGAAAGGCAAGATACAAATCTAATCAGACAATCCTATTTTATGGTACAATACTATGCAAGTTTGTGTGTGTGTATGCACTCACATGTGTACACATGTGCATGGCTTCAAATTCCTGTCAATTTATTGCAACTCCATGAATTTCACATGGTTTTCTTAGACAAGTAATACTCAGAGGTAGTTTTGTCAGTTCCTTCCTCTGAAATATAGCCTAATTCACACCAAATTCTGTGGACTTAATTACAGGTAATTGTACTGAATGTTGGCACTTAATTTTTGCTGCAAGACATTTAAAAAAATAATATCTGAGGATATTATATGACTAGGAAAAGACTTAGCTCAAACTACTTGTTATCACCTTCAAAACACAAATCTGTCACACTGTAACATTTGCTTTTTCCTCACTTCTTCTTACCATAAATATTACATAGGCACCTGGAAGAGCTGTCCATAATCCTTACTGAATCCATAAGAACACTGTCAAAATTGTGAACTGGGTAGTTTCTTGATCCAACTATCCCTTATTCTTCTTTTAACAGTTTATTTGTTTAAGCAGTAATATTAGGAATTATAGTGCTATAATTATTTAGTGTGAAATTGCCTAATTGGCAAGCGGGGTGAAATTGCCTAAT